ACAGTTGAACTTAGGGCCTTGCTGTCGTTGTGTTCTTTTGAAGGAAAAGGCTCATCACTATTGTGTACATCTACAGTCTGTCCATGTCATGGGGTTCGTAGCCACAGGTCTTGGTTCACCCTGTCTACACTGAGAAAATGAAACACAAGGCACACTACTCAGTAAATCAGATTCCATGGAAAAGTACACATATTTGGTGTAATGTTCATGATTATCTTAGTGCTGTCTGCTCTTTCCTCCCCACAGGTTCACATTGGACTGATGGTGCAGCATTTGAACAGTCCTGGGCATAAGATTTCCAACTCACATAGTGGCTAACTGGAGTCATCTTTGTATGTAAAAGGTGGGGAGCCCAGCCTGGGAAGCTCATTTAGTTAGAGCATTGTCCTGAACACCCAAGCCACTGCTTGTACAGACCACAAGGATGCAGGTTTTATTCCAATCCCAGGTCAGGACACATTAGGGAGGAAACCAGTCGATGTTTCTCTCTCACACCATTGTTCCCTTCTCTTTCTGTCTCTCTCTCTCTCTCAAATCAATAAACATATCCTCATATTCTCAGTCAGGATTAAAAATGTGGGGAATCCCTACCCACAGACTAAGAATATGTCTGGTAATAACCACCTGCATGTGTATGCAAATGGATGTTTTCTTTACATTACTTGTGGTCTCTCAAATGTGAGCAAAGTTGGTTGTGGTTTAACTGCCCTTATTTTATCTTTTAACACCCAAGCCACTGCTTGTACAGACCTAACTAGTAAGGGCCGGTTTGACTTTGAGCATTTTCCACGAATCAACCACATTTGCCAGAGCACGTCAACAAAGGAAGCCTGAGAAGCTAAACCACCACCAGCCCCAGCAGCACCCTCCCACCAGCCACGCTGTCGCCTCCACCACCTTCTCTCCCCTCCATTACTGCCCACTTCAGGGCAGCCCAGGCTGAGCTGAGGAAGGAAGTCGCTAAGAAGTTTGAAGCCACAGGAGATGCCGCCTAGTGGTGCTCAGCTGTGAAATTGGCCACACACAGTGTTCAGTGATTGTCAAGTGTCCTCTGTGCTCGTACCTTTCCCAACACAGACGTAGTTTCAACTAAGTCCAACGTTTTCAACCTTTTCATCTCATGGCAGACACAAACTATTAAAATTCGGTGGAACAATAAAATATAATTTTATTGATCTGACAAAAATAGGTATAATTCTGATTGATTTACAAAAAAATGTAATAATACTAATTGCCTACTCTTTTGCTCAACATGACCTTTTGAAAAAGTTAGAAGCCTATACTTGTAGATCAGGATTTCTCATACCAGAACTTAACCAGTCAGATGCAACGTTATTATGTGATATGACCAATAAGATGTTAACTCTATTATATGACCTATATATTTATGGTTCAAGACAGAGCATTTATGCCAGAATGCTATTGTTCTATTGGCTGTTGTCTTTTTTTCTTTTTTAATTGACAACCTACAAGAAAGAGCTCAGCACCCATAGAAAATAGGTATTGCATATTTTAAAAATTCTTGTGGCGCAAACTTGAAAATCATTGCTTTACATAGAGGGCAGAGTATTTGGCCTAAAGAGGTCTGACATAATTAATGATAATCAAAGAGTAGATCTAAATAAACTTAATCTTCCTTGTATCCATTTGGCCTTATTTTGTTTCTGGATGGGAATCTCTACTTGGTTTCCAAAAGAAACTGTTTCACAGAATCTGAAGCTGACTGCAAAGTTTTACTAATTTTAAATGAGACCTTCTCAGTCACTTTCTGGCTTCAAGCCTGGCTACACATTACAATTACTGCAGGAGGCTGTTTAAAGTCTGATGCCTGACTTTGTGGAAGTCTGGGCTTCAGTGATTTTCAAAGGCTCCAAGAAGAGAGCCACTGATGCAATGGGTAAAACAGCAGAGTTTGTCAGATGGCCCTGGAGTCATGTGGACTCAACTCCTGGCACAACTCCGTGATTGGCCTTGGGCATATCTCTTGCCTCCCTGGTCTTCCCCTCAGTGAAAGGAGCGTGATCCCCGTACTGTGGTACAGTGAGAGCATTAGACACAGAGCATGCAGACTGCCGGGTGGAATTCCTGCTGCTCACTATGTGGCAGGCACTTGTTGTTACTCAAACAAAAAAAAGTAAACAAAAACAGCCTAAGAGAGCCTGACAGAGACCATGGTTTAAGCCAGGCTAGTTTTTATGGCTCTCGGAGTGTTGGGTTTCTAGCTATGTGGCTGAGTAGTGTCATGCTGGTATAGTATCCCTGGCTATCTTTTATTACTCAGAATTTCTAATTGGCAATTATATAGACCTTTGATTAACATAAAGGAAAAATTGAATATTACTTAACCGTAGCCTGCTTGATTGACAGTAAACCTTAAAAAAATCTATGAGTTTATGAAGAAAAGAATCCTGAAACAGTGGGGAGAATTCTTAATGGGAAAAAAGTTGAGAATAGTTTCCCTGAGGTTTGCCCTTTTTTATGATGGAGAAGTGTGTGGGGTACGCTAGCTCATAAAGACTAGAGACATGAGAGCTTTCCTGTGGAAATGTATAAATCTTTGCCCAGTTTCTTCATTGTGCACCTGTGGATGCAGCCTGTTTTCCTGATATTTCTTTTATCCAACCAAGTGGTATGTGCTTAAATGACAGGTGTCTGACTGGTGGGTGGGATATCAGAATATTAAAATCTTCCCAAGATTAAAAACTGTGTGCAGGTTTGTTAGAACACTCTAATTTTTCGAACAGGTAAGAGTAAGGAGAGGGAGGGTGGACAGGTGAAGAGGCAGTGCTTTTCATCAGCTCTTAGTCTAATAAGAAGGAAATTTTCCTATCTTACTTTAAACCTAAAGGAACCTGTTTCTACTTCAGTAGCAAGTAATGTAGAACTCAGGGGCAGAGCCTGTGGCCAGGCTGCTTGGGTTCAAATGCCAGCACTGCTTGTTATTAGCTAACTGTGCATATATTCTTTATCCCCTCTTGCCTCAGTTTCCCCATCTGTAGAACAGACATAATTGTACTAGTTTAATGGGGTTCTTGTGAGAAACAGGTTAATGCATACTTAGACCAGTACCAATAAGCACTGTGCAAGCATTTGTTATTTTTACTTTGTTAGGATGTTAATCATTGAATTTGTAAATTGTGCTAGAAATTTGAAATTATTTATAATTTGAACACTTTTTTCTAAATATGGGAAAATGTAGGCAATATGACATGGTCAAGAGCAAATGACACAGCCAGTTTGAGCCAGACCAAGTAACGGAGGCTCTAGGTATGGAGCATGAGATGAAAGTTCTGGTCAGTGTCCCTCCCACCTCACCACCACGTGGCAGTGCTGCTGTGATGGAAAAGTACTGGACCCAAAAGGAAGTACAGCTACCTCCTACCTCATAAATGCTCACGGACATACCAGAGGTTTCCACAAGGTGATTTCCCAGGACGTCTGGACCTGTTTAGTCTAAGGGAGAAGCTGGAATACCAGAGTGGTGCACGCAGTGGCACTGTCAAAGGCCTTGCGTTGCCTGAGAGTCTCAGTTCATTTCATTAACATTCTAAAGAGGAGCTGCAAATCTAGGACACACATAAAATAAGGCAGGATTTTCATACTGTTGATAATAAAGGGAGAAATTATGGTTGTGCCAGAGTATAGAGTTGAGGAGAAAACAGATATGCACCCATAAGTCCTTCAGAAAATTCTCACTGACTTTGGAGAAGAGGCGCTGCATGATTTTTTTCTTCCCTGCTAAAAAGTAGTGGAAGGGGAAGCCACATGATATTGGTAACAAAATACAGGTTCTGAGTTTAGAGAGACCTGGCTTCAAATTACTATTTCTTAAAAATGGCAACCATGAGGAGATAACATAATCTCTCTCATCTGTAAACTGTGGACTACACCTACCTCCAAGGGCTCAGAGAGGATGGATGGGACTGCTGGATGCTTAGCAGAAACTCACTGAGTCCCTATTCCAAGTACACCTAACCTGTCCACAGGGAAATATGATTAGAGATGATTGTCAGGGGGGGTGTGTGTGATCTATTGTTTCTAAAGTAGAGCCACTAACAGTAGTTGCTGAGGACTTGCACAAACCAAACATTATTTACTCACGTAATTCACACAACTCCAGGAGACCAGGCACTGTAACTTCATTTTATACATGAGAAAATTATGGCACATGGAGTTCAAATAGGTTCTCTGAGGTCACCCAGATACCAACAGTAGACCCAGGATACAAATCCAGGCCCTTCGGGTCAGAGGAGAGGGGCTCAGCCCTCACTACCCTGCCTCTCCAATGTCAGAGCAGTTCTCGTGGGTCATTGTGAGAATCAGGAAACCAGATGCATGTGAAACGCTGGCATAGATCTGAGCACACAGTGCCAATAATGGGAGATGTTACGCTGTCACCATTGGACTATCCCAAACCAAATGAGTATGAGTATGGTGACCTTTGAGAGGGAAGTAAGCTGGGCACCTTCACTGGGCTCTGGCCCCCTTGGAATCTGTGCCCCAAAGAAAGGATTGTAAGTACAGTCTCTGTAGTTACACAAAGAGATACAAAAAGAAAGAGACAGAAAGGTAGCACTGACCATGACGACAGTGCAGAATTTGAGAGCTCATTTGCCATGTTCCTCCATAGCTGGGACCTCAAATAGATGTATCAGATTAAAGTACATGGACAAAAGTAGATTTTTTATTTAAAAAAATTTATTGTGCCTATTATGAAAAACAAAACACAGAATACAAGTAGCCGAGATGGCAGCTTCCAAGTGCAAGACATGGAAGCTCTGAGGCGGTTGTCTGGATGAGGAGCACTGAGGAACGTGACTAGGAGCTGCATGCTGTCTGTACGCAGAAGGCGTGGTGATGTGGGTTGGCGAGAGGAGCTGATTGGGGTTATGGGAAGAGTGGTGACAAAGGGCACCCTTGGGCCCTGTGCCTGAGTAATGGCAGATTCTGTTATTGCTACAGAGAGAAGTTTCTTTTGCCCAGGGGTGTGAAAACCATTACACAATAATGACATAATAGAAAAATGCATGTGAACGGAAATAACCCAAACCCAGAAACAAAGTCCAGCTAGATTCTGAGCAGACACATCCAGGGAAAATAACTGGAGAAAAATTGATCCTTTTGTGCCGTCATCTGTTATGAACTCTTTCCATGGCCACAGATGGCTGTTCTCCTAAACAGACAGAAGGAAACGATGGCAAAGTAGACCAGGCTCTTGAGGAGGAGGAGGAGGTAGGTGTAGTAGGCGGAGGTATTGGTGAGCTGCAACTGCAATACATCTAGGAGAAGTCACTTAATTAGTTTCATCTGTTCTTTTGAAAGGATAGGAAATATTAATGGGAGGGGGTCATAATTATTTATGTTTATGATCTACATTGAAGTGACACTTCCACACCACCAACCCCAAGATAAACAAACATCTACCACCAGCAGCAGCAGCAGCAAGACAACTTAGAATGTAGCTTGCAGGTCAAGTCACTTAGAACACTCCAAAATATTAGAACTAACATTGTGTTTTAAACAAGAGGGTCTAATGAGAAGCAAGTGATTGTGGTAAATGACTTTTATCATGTCTTAATGCCATTCTGTCTCTAATTAATAATAAAAGTTAATATTCTTCTTTTACCACTAACCAAATCCCAAACACTCTGAGTGCTTTGTATTCGACACTTTTATATAATTTTTACAGTAACTTATGAGATTATTATTTTAGTTCCCATTTTACAAATAACATGAGGACAGGGAGAGAAGAGATTTGCCAGTTGTCATGCATTTAGTAAATCGCAGAAACCAAATTTCAGTCCCAGCAACATGACTTCCGAGAAAACATTTTTAATCACTCTGGAATTCTGTATCTCCAAGTGCAGTAAACAATACCCTGACATCAAAGGGTTAAGCATTAATAGAAAGTTGACCTGCTGATGTAGAAGCATCTGAGTCAGTGCGTGTGAATGCAATGTGATTCCTACTGAGGGTACAATCCTTGAAAATGTGGTATTCACAGCTGGTGGCTGCAGGTTTAAAAGAGGGCTTTATGTTAACTGGAAGAAAGTGGTTAATCCAAATTCTCTGAAACTTTAAGAGGTCATGGCTCTCTCACTTGTCTTTCCTGAATTTTCTTCATTGTGGCTCTGACACTATAATGTAATTGTACTTAATGTTCTTTAAGTTTTGCGAGAAATACGTGATGTCAAGGAACAATTGAAGGCAGTGATGGTGGGCCAGACTGCTGCTCAGTAAACCACAAGGCCAAGCCTTTTCCTGTGGAAATTTCCCTTTGACATGTTTTATCTCCATAGTGTCGGAACTCCAGAATGATTAGCCCTTCATGTGGAAAAGACCCTCAAGAGCCAATGTGCTCAGAAATCCTTTGGGTTGGTCAGGCAAGGTGTTAGCTGAGGTCCAGAGCCCCCTTGATACTGGGAATGGAGGGGAGCTCAGCAGGAGCAGAGCCAATGCTTCTAGGTGCTTCCTTTGTACATGTATAGGAAGGAAGGGCCAGGAACCTGTATTCTATGCCAGCTAAACAAGATACCCTATGCTGGACATTCCACATATGTGACCTTATCTCCTCAATAACTGGGTTAGGTCTAATTATTCCTGACTGGCAGGTGAGGAAAGTATTTCTCATGAAATGCAAGTACCAATATTCATGCCACTAATAATGAAAAGAACTGGGGTTGAAGTACCCATCTGTGGTACTGGGAAGCCAGAAACTGCCCCCACCCCCTGCTCCAGCCATGTATCCAGTGTGTGTAGAGTCTCGGCTTTGGGCTTTCTTGCTCAATGATTTGACTCTCAGAGGAAGAATAGAGAACTGAGTAAGTGTATGAAGTCTTGATTCTGATGGCCTGCGTTGAAACCCCAGATCTAGATGTTTGCCATGGTGTATGGGATTTCATTTTAGCTTATTGCTCTCATCTGTCAAATGGGAAAATATGTTGTATGCTCCGCAGGAGTATTATGAGAATTCAACATGTGAGTTCAGATTATTAACCACTAGCAAAGACTAAAGACAAAAATCTAGAAGCAACTTAATATCACTTCCCTACTCATTTGAAACAAAAGCCATACAAATGAATGAAGTCAGTATTGAAATAATCCTGAGCATATCATGGCACTATCTAATTTAGTCATCTTATACCAAAAGCCAGCATTTGCTATATTAAGATGACTGCTAAGAAAGGATGGACTGACTTAAAATATCACTTGATCTATTCTTCAATATCCAGCCATACTGATTATTCTGTCTTAAGCCAGACAAGTTCAAAGCTCATGTTGATCATTAGGAAATACTGTTATAGGATTACATAAAGACAAATATATGCAAAAACTTACCACTTTTATCTTTCAAGCAGTCTTCTATTGTAAGATTAATACCAGCAACTTCTAAAAGAAGTGAGAGTAACTATTAATGAGTTCTTTGTAACCATTATTTGACATTTGTGTCTGTGTGTGTGGATAGACAGACACATAGATTGATAACAGGTAGATAGAGAGAAAGAGAGAGAGAGAGAGAGAGAGAGAGAGAGAGAGAGAGAGAGAGAGAGAGGGAATCAGCCCACAGAGAGAAGAGAACCTTGAAAATATGAGCCCAACATCCAGGAATAGATACCCAGACTATGTAATTCAGTAGCTCTAATTTACATATTGTGTTTCTATACATGAACATGTTGAAATTCATGAAGGATAGATATATTTTTTAAATCATAACTGGAGGGTCCTACCCAAGACTCCCTGTTTTCCTCCTGCATTCGTCGCTCCTAGCACAGTACCCACGGCAAAGTAGCTCTTCAATATACATGACACTCGTTGATGGGAAAAAATAAACAGAAAAAGGAGCTGCTCTGCAGTCTTCAGCACACACTGCTGACATGAGCAGTTGCTACCAAAATAAATTTGTTTAATCATAGAATCCATTACAGAATCATACAGGTTTGAAGGAATCGGGTGTAGACAAATTTCCCATCTAAGCCATGCTTTTCCCATTCATTCATAAACCCTATGACTCCAGCTCACGTACATGATTTCCTGGAGTTGTGGTCTTTGTGGACATAACAACATATTAAAGAAACTAATGTCTATTGAGTGATTATTACTGTGTGGCATAGTGTATGTTAAATGCTTCAGATGCGTCATCTGATTTCATCTCCCAGTAACACTGAAGTGAGTTGTATTTTGGACTCCATGTTACAGGTGAGAAAGTGAGGTGCAGAGAGTACCAGTAACTTGCTGAGAGTCATACCAGTGAGCAACAGAGACAGCATTCAAAGGATCGCTGTGGGGGAGTAAATGGAAGGGAACAGGTGGAAGGTACTCTGTAAAAATAACCCATAGAATATTATTTTTTTAACATGACACATATTTATTCTGATATATTATAGTTCTGGAGGCCAGAAGTCCGAAATCAGTTTCACTGGGCTGGAGGCTCCAGAACAGAGTCTTTTTTTCTTACCTTTTTCAGTGACTAGAATTTTATCTTTTGCATCCGTTGGCTCATGGTGCTGCATTGTCACAGCTTCTGTCACATCTCCTAAAGAGAAACAACATCATTCCACCATAGTAGGCCCTGAGAACATCGCCTCTTCCCGATACCTTCATCATGCTTACCAAATGACCTTTACGTTACAGGAGCTCCGCATTTTAGTGCAATTCTTTCCAGAAAGAAAAGATAAACCAAGTCACGTTTATAGCTGCATTTATCTACAATGTTTTAAAAAGGCAAATATACATTCAAAGACAAAATTTCTTAAGGTTCATTGATGATCGGATGGAGGAAAACAGTGCAATGGTTGCTTTGGTTTATCCTTCTTCTGCTAGGATGTTCCTGACCATAAGGAGTGCAGTTTTATGCGCTCCATGAGATCTTTTTCTGGTGTGCACTAAAAATAAAGGTGTGAGGTATAGGCTTTGGGGTAAATCCCAAGACTGAAAATGTTAGTATAATTATGTTGAGATGTTGAAATATTCTCAAGGATTCTTATTACTGTGTCTTAAAAGTGTGTTTATTTTCCTTACAGTGACTTTATTTATTAAAAGATAAATAAAAATCGCTTATCACCATGTACTGAGGTAAAGGTGTCAACAATAAAGTAACAATTTTTCATAAAAAAATCTGTTTGTGTATCCTAATTTTTTCCTAATTTGATGGAAAAGTTGGACTAGATTAGTTTTTCCTCTCTTGAAATCACTCCTTTGTTTTCACGTTATATTTTTAGCTTTTAACAAAAATAAACAAAAAACAACAAACAAAAAACATCTAAGAAACAGCATTGGAAATTTGCCATACAATGACATTAACCAAATGCCCTCATTAGCTTTGTTGCCATGAGAAGCCCACAGGGTACATTTGTTACAGAAAATAAGTGACAAATAAACCATCTTGTACTAGACCTTTTCTCCTGTATGAGAGTCATCCCTGGTCTCTTGAAAAATGAAACCTAATAGAACGCTTAAGCCCAGTGATTATATTAAACTCGTGCTTTGTACATTTGCTTTCTTTCTGCTTTTTAGCTATAAAAACAGGAAAAAATTAGGGCTGTTTTGGCAACCTTACTTTAATTTTAGGAAATAATATAAACAAACATATGTATATTAATAAATACATCGATGTTATATTTACAAAAGCAAACATTTTCACTAACATTATTTTGTTTGTTCTTCATCATAGACATAGGAGAAAGCTAAGGCCAGGGTTCAAACCTGATTTGATCTTGGGGAAACCAGATCTGAGGAAAATAGTCTTACTCCAAAATTCAGACTGGTACACAGCAAAGGTCTTAGCACGTCTTGTTATAGGCTTGCTCCCCACTGTTTGAAAGGCTTTGTTTACCACCAGGTACAGTTCCAACTGATTCCTTCCTGTGGGCACTCTGGGGACTTTGGCCTGTTTATGTTGATACTCCGGACTTTAAGGTCTGAGTCTAGGGAGTTCCCAGACCTCTGCTGGGACTAGGGCACATTCAGGGCTCGGCCCTCACTCTCAAAACATGTACAAAATCTGAATCAAGGGCACTCCTTTGGGACATCATGCCTGAATCTCAAGTGGCCCTGAATGTTTAGGGAAAGAGGATATTCTCTTCACTGGGCGCATCCTCCTTGGGACGGCAAGTCATCCTGGTGTATTCATCCACGTCCTTCCAGGCCAGAAACATGCTACTGCTGCAGTACATGTGTGTTTCCAGTGGCAAAAAATATATGATCATTAAGTAGAATGAAAATGTGCTTATACACATCAGCCTCACCCAATCTTTAATTATAAAGTTTACCTACAGTGGCATATGAAATACAAACCTGAAAAACTAAGGACCATACAAAAACTGGAGGCCTAAATTATTCTTTTTTTGTTGAACCTTGATCCGACTCCCTCAGAAGGACACCACCTGTTGCCTCGCAACTCACTGATTACACTTTGAGTTTAGCAACACTGAAGTGACTGTGACTTTGCCTGATCAGTAGAAAATTCTTGAAAGATGTATAACTGTTTTTATTCTCTGGTCAAATAAGATCATCCAAAGTGGAATCTCTTTTTGAGCATTTATTGTGTGCTACGTTGCTAGGTGTTTTCATGTATGTTGTTTCATTTAAACCATACAGCAACCCTAAAACCATCATGTGACTTTAATATTTGGATGATAAAACTGAGGCTGAGAAGAGTAAAATTCTTTATTTCTTTATCTTTTAATGTTCCAAAGCCTACACTTTTTTTTAATTCTGTGGGAAAATAGCAGGACATTTATGCTACTATTAAATGTGGCAACATTTAAAGAAGATTTATATATATACCTTTTTATTAATACTTGACAGACACTTAAAGCATTCCCTTTGGGAAGAGAAGTGTTCTGGGAAGTTACATTTATATGCACATACCTTTATTTATTGAAGGAAAAAGAATCTCTTGATCAGCTCCTCTTCTATTATTCTCGTGTTTGACGATGCATTTGTGTTCTTTATCCATTGACTTCGCAGTCACGGTCAGCCAGCTGAATTTCATGTATGCGTCATTAGTCTTCATGGTATTTCCCTGCTGGGATGCCAGAATTGCATGGCCATCTTTTTCCTTCCAATAGACCCTAATGACATCAGGGAAAAATTTCTCAAGGAGACAAAGATATGTCCCAGCATTATGAAGGTTTATTTCAGCTGCTGAAGGAAGAAAAATTGTGGGCTTGGGGGCAATCTTTGATGCATCAAGGCTTCCGTCTGTGGGGAAAACAGAATAGTAATTAAGAATTAGAGAATAACTTTGTGTAGTTTGGAACAACCTGGTATATAGTAAAAGGAAGAAAAGCTGCCATTGAATTAGTGCATATAATGGCTTTTCATCCATGATATATTGTGATGTGTTTATTATTGTTCTTGTTTTCAGAAAGGAAAAGAGATTCAAGAGGTTACATAACTTGTCCAAGGTTGTAGCTATTAAATGGCACAACCTGAATGGAAACTTGGCCTTTGTTCCTTCTCCACAAGCTAAAATGGGGTATGACTTTTAACAGCTCTCACATTTGTGATCTTATTTGTTTGTTTTTAATCTCTTTCATCCTATCATAGGTGAAGTGTAGATGGCGGGGGTAGGGGGAAAAACCAGTAAGTACCTTAGACGACCTTCTTCAGATGAGAAAATTTAGTGGCTTATAAAATACTAAAACAAAACAAAAGAAAAAGAAGACATAGACAACAGTGTGACAATTGCCAGAGAAAAGGGAGTGGGAGGAGATAGAAGCGGGTAAGGAGAGGATGAACGGTGATGGGAGGAGCCTTGAGTTTGGGTGGTGAACATAGGATGCGATATGCAGAGGAAGTGTTATAGAATTGTACCCCTGAAACCTGTGTAATTTTATTAACCAATGTCACCCCAATGAGTTCAACAAAAATAAAAAAATAAAAAGTACTTTTTTCTCCCCATGAATATTGTAACTTAAACTCCCTTTGGCCACACACTCTCATGTTCTGTAACTCTGTGGAAACTAACTCTCCACATTTAACTGACTCTGGAAGGCAACAAATTACCTTTTTTAAATGTTTTCTAAACATACACAGTCACTTGTTTTGATAGGAACCTACTTCCACATGTACTTAATTTACCAAGGTATTCTTTTGGCTTCAAATATTACTTCAGTTTTCAAGTGATACAGTTCTGATAGTTGAATTCTAATTTTGTAGAACATCTTAATTCACATCTGAAACACTCCAGATTTTTTAGGGCACCTCCAAATTATTTATGATGCTTTGAATTTAGAAGCAAGAGGGCAGCATTCCCAGAGATTCTATTAAAATTTTTCTTGATTATTTTCAGAAACACATATTCATGTAGCAAGTAAATGCTCTTAACAGAATTTCATTTCACTTTAGAAAGGTTCACCTAAAACCCATTTTATTTTGGAAGTTCATTTGTAGTTTAAACATGAATATTATATTGTATTTTAAATATGTCATATTTTGGCCCTGAGTGTCTCCCTTAAGATTTCTATCTACCCTTTAAGGATGCTGAGCTATTTTAAAGCTCCATCATTTTCTTTGTTTTCATCTGCAGAATAAAATGTATGCATAACTGGAATCATGTTAAAAGCTATGGTATTAGAGTTTTTGCCAATGTAATGGCAAAATATGTAACAAAACATGATATATTTAAAAAGACATGTCACATGAATTCTGAAATGTTACATGATTATGCATTTATTAAAAAATCCAATGATTGAAATTTTAAATATTAACGCCCTTTCCTATTTGATTTTAAATTAAAATACAAATTTCTTGTCTATTCTTTTTGGGCTAGCTTGGAGTTAGTTTAGTAATTTAGTGGGCAATTTTATAAGCAAAAAATTTTATATCTCATTTAAGAATAAAGAAAAAAAATTCTTGAGTATTTCTGCCAGTGGAAGAAAGCTCCTGACTTTTATACTAAACCAAGAAGCAAACACTTTGAGGGTATTTTTTTTTTTGCATGTTGTCAACATAATTAAGTTATATTGTGATTATTTTAATTTTATACATCTTGCTTTTAGTGCCATAGTATTTTTTATTATCATAGTAAGACAATGTATATTTTGCTAATTGTATACTTTGCTTTTAATTTAAAAAGCATTTATATAAAGTAATATTATGGTAATTTTTCAATTGTACATTTACATAATATTAGTATCTAGCCAATATACTAAGGAATCTAAATTTTTTTAGAAACTTTTTTCATAACAATATTTCTGATTCATTATACTAAAGAAATCGAGAATCAAATAATAAACTTGAAATATTTATGTGGTAATGTACTATTTTTTCACCTGTCCCTTTTCTTGAACTAGATTCTTTAAGTGTCATTCTTTTCAAGATAAAATGAATTTTGAACTTCCATACCTTTCTCAATATAATAGTTAACTGAGTATTAAATAATGTACTTAATTATATATGGTTAGTGCCTACATATATTGGATAATTGTATTATATGTTATTTCTTTTAAACATTCTTTTTAAAACTTATTAACAGTGTTTTTTATGATCCAAATCTTTTTCATGATTCATATAATTGAAACCAGGTTAAAAAACCAATCAGCCTTCCAAAACACATATGTAAAGTTATTAGTATAATCAAATAATACATCTGAGTTAAATTGTTTGAGGTGTTTGTATTTACTCAGATGCAGCTGTATGAATCACATATAATTTTACCAAATTTTATATAAACCACAACTATGTTTTCAATAGGAAGTATGATATTTCAAAGCTACATATTGATATTGTGTTATCTATTTTTTTCTTGTCATTTTCCTTTTATCTAATAAGTAATTATAACTATTTTATTTTTATAGGTGAATTTCAAACTTATGACATTTCTAACTATATTTAATTTACTTTATATATGGACCATTTTCTGTATGAATTTAAGCTTTTTTACGAATATGAACATGAAGTTGAACCTTATTGACTATTAATTTTAGAGCCAATAAACATTGGTGTTAGAAATAATTTCAATTAAAATGAAGGATTAAGATTTAAAGCACACATGCCAGCAATAAAAATGATAAATGAACCCTTGTTAATTTCATTTTTCTTACCAGTGAGAGAAAAGTGGTGGTAAAACTAAACCAATACCTCCAGACTCATTTTTTAATGAGTAGTAGAGGTACAGATGAATTCTCTGGGGACTGTCTGCTCCTTCAATATTATTGGCAGCAAACAACTTTTCATACTGGATACAATTCTTCTTTACATTTGAATTGCGGGAACACCTATTCCGCATCTACTATATGTTAGACAATGTGCAAGTACTTCTTTCACACCATCTCACTCAATGCTCATACAACTCCTCTGGATGCATATTTAGCCCATTTTATGAATTAAGAGACTGAGGAAAGAGAATAGTTGCCCAAGACCCATACGCAGTAAGTGGTGGAACCAGAGCTCCATGTGATCCTGACTCCAAAACCCAGGCTTTTTCACAAGACGCTTACACCATCCGAAATGGAAATGCTTCAGCTCACAACGCTGACCTATAGTGATTACCTTTGTCCTAGGGCCAAACGCTTCCATGATGATTATATACATTGTACATGAGCATTGTGTACAAGTCCAGGTGTACACAAAAGCCGAAACCAGCTAAGTTAGCTGTACAATGTTGACCCTGCGTGTCTGTCAGGATTTGTTTTACAATCTTGCCTAATAGTTCTACATTTAATCCCCATCGCATTTCTGTTTTACCTAAATATTCTGTTATTCCAATTTAACTGTTTCTTGCCTTTCCTCTATTAGCTTAAAAAATTACATTCTTCTGATACCTACCTGTGATGACAAGTTTTGTTCCATCACCAAAGAGTTTTCTGCCATAGTTCCACAGTGATTCAACCAGCATCAAAAACTGTAGACTCATTTAGCTTCTCGGAGTTTTTCAAATTCTAGTGGAACTATGATGATCTGAAAATCAAGGGATCCGTGTTCTGCTTCTGGTTCATTTTGCTCATAACAAGTTCTGTGGCTGAGCCAATAAGGTAAGTTAGCTTTTCTGGTGCTTTAGTTGTCTGAAAACAATGATGTGAGTATAACAAATCAATTCAACATCACTACTAGTGAGACCAAAATGAAGCAAGATTTGAAAAGCAATTTGATTAAAGAGCTATGGAAATAAGAGATTATAATAATTATTAGCCATTTGACAGTATGACTTTCTGCTCCAACCTGACCTTTTAATCTCATGGGACCACACCTTGCCCTTACTAATAGGAATTCAGCACTTTGGGATTGTAGCTAAACCCCTGGCAATGCATTCCACTTTGCTCTAATATGTCTGGAATTCTCAAAGCCATCACCATGGGAAAGGTGACTTTCACACAGTTAATTAGCGCACCATCATTTGTCTTATCTATCTGCATTTCCAGTGTTCAGAAAATCAAAGGGAGCCTATAGCCATACCACAGGATCTTGCCTGATTTCCCAAGAAAGCCAAAGGGAACATTGGCTAAAGCCAAATGATATGCAGTCAGTATACACAGCTGCTTCCCTTGTGTTGTCCAAAACAAATAGCTCTTTCCCCAATCAACAAACAGCACAATCTATTTGCATTCCAAGCTTTCACCAGAAATTTCAGCCTCAAACTGACCTCTTTCCAGCTCACACTGAAAGTTCAGCTTGAAACTCCTGGCAATGGGCCTTCCAGCCACAATGACAAGAGAAATGGCGGGATGACTGTCCTCAAATCCCCTTATTGCCACGTTAGATGCTAAAGCAGTACCTGCCTGACCATATCTGCTGAGGGTCACCTCCATGAACGACATCAAATGCTATATGCTTGTGGCATTGATGCAGTGGTAGTGTAAGATGAGTTTGATTAAAGACCATTTCTTCACTTTTCTCCTAAAGGTTTCATGCATTGAAATTGTTCTCTAACTTTGTAGCAGGAAAAACATGTTTAAAAATTTGGAGTGCTTCATTTTACTAATTAATAAAAAGTATGTACTCCACTACAGTTTTTCCTACAAATTTTTCTTTTTTTCTAAATTCACTTTTCAAAAATTGAGATATAACTGACATAACTCTCCTTCCTTTATTTTACCCCCTGTTTTTTGCTGGATAATTACGGGCCTCTTTTCTTCTGCTTTCTGTAGTGCTTTTGATCTTTTTTCTTATTTCATGATCTGACTGCAACTTTGATTTAGGTCCTCTCAACTAAATTTGGAAATAGGCAGTTTAAGGACCTAACCAATAATTTGTGTATTATAGCTTGTTCTTTTTCTGCCTATGAGGCTGATAGTTTAATAAGGTGTACAAGAAAATGACACCTTTTTGAAAATGAAAATGACACCTTTTTGAAAATGAAAGCCGAGAGATGATGTTTGTAAATCCTAGCGCTGCGATATAGATGATAAATGTGTGGAATTCAAACAGACAGGGGGGAGATCTGGACAGGTACCTGCAAAAAAGAAAAAAGAAACTAGACCACCAATTAAACCATACACCAGAATAAAATCACGATGGATAAAAGACTTAAATATAAGTCATGACATCCTGAGAGTCCTAGAAGAAAACATAAACAGGAAAATTTCAAATGTTCCACACAGCACTATTATTGCTGATATACCCCTGAGAGCCAGGGATATAAAGGAAAGAATAAACAAATGGGGCTTCATCAAAGTAAAAACCTTCTGTACGGCTAAAGAAAACAACAGCAAAATGAAAAGGGAGCCAACTTCATGGGACAACATACTTGCCAATGATACCTCGGACAGGGTTTTGAGCTCCAAAGTATAAAAAGAACTCATCTGATTCATCACCAGGAAGAACAAATGATCCAATGAAAAAACGGGCAAAGTACCTCAATAGGCACTACTCCAAGGAGGACACACAGAAGACCCAGAGGCATATGAAAGGATGCTCAGCATCACTAGCCATCAGAGAGATGCAAATTAAAACCCCAATGTGATACCACTTCACACTGGTCAGAATGGCCATCATAGACAAATAAACAAACAACAAATGCTGGCTGGATGTGGAGAAGTGGGAACCCTAGCACACTGTTGGTGGAAATGCAGACTGGTGCAGCCACTGTGGAAAACAGTTTGGAAATTCCTCAAAAAACTAAAAATGGAACTGCCTTTTGATCCAGTTATTTCACTGCTCGGATTGTAGTCTAAGAATCCCAAAACAGCAATTCAAAAAAACCCTATGTACCCTAATGTTCATAGCAGCGTTATTTACAATAGCCAAGTGCTAGAAACAGCCTAAGTGCCCATCGGTAAGTAGGTGGATCAAAAAGAGTGGTATATTTACGCAATGGATATACTACATAGCAGAAAGAAAGAAGGAACTCCTACTCTTCCCTACAGCATGGACGGAACTGGAGAGCGTTATATTAAGTGAAATAAGACATGTGGTGAAAGACAAATACCATATGATCTCACCTATAAGTGGAACCTAGTGAACAAAACAAACAAACAACTAAAGTTGAACCAGAGACATAGGAACAAGGAACCGACTGACGGCGACCAGGGGGCAGGGGGAGGAGGATGACGGGGGTTGGGGGGGAAGAGACAAAGAGTGTAGTCAAGGAACATGTATAAAGGACCATGGACATGGACAACAGGGTGGGGACTGACTGAGGGAGAGATGGTAGGCACGGTAGGGGAGAGGAACAGGGGAAAACTGGGAAAGTGTAAGAGGACAACAATTAAAAAAAAAGAAAAACACTAGTAACAAACCTAGGGTTATTAAACTATAATTAAAGTTATTGTTGTAAAATCACTCTGTATTTATAGAAATAAATATAGATGTAAATGTGAAAAAATAATAAAAAGTTTTTGGGTAAAAGAAAAAAACAAACAGACCGAATGTAGCAATATATAAGGTGAGGCTCTGGTTCCCAAAATTACCCCTCAGAAAGCAAAGGCTGCCTTATATTTCAGTTCTTATGCAGCCTCTCATAGTATAAGATGCACTTCCTATACACTGCTTTGATCAAAAAATAATACACAAAATATCAAACTAAAATAAATTAATTTTTAGAATTTTATTTTAAAATCTCAGTTAGTAGTAACTTTAGAAATAGCACTGGTAAAAGACAATAAAGAAATTTAACATGAATTAATCCTAAAGTAACTTCTTTCTAGATTCCAATTCCCACTGATAGACCGATGACTTGTTACTGAGTCTAAATTCTTAATGATCGGCCCTTAAGCTATTTTCTGCTGAAAGACTGCTCCTTTGGATTTCTTGCCCTTACAGCTTCCGGGGCATTTGCTATCCTTGCTGTGCTGCTTATCAGAGGCCCCTGTTCCGTTTGGTATTTCTGCAGCTGTCGCATCACGAGTGGAAAGGCTGCACTGAGTTATGCAATTTAGTTAGTAATGCAGTTTGGTACAACTGATCTAGTTCTTTACCAGCTACAATATTTTCAGCAAATTTGATGTCAATATAGAAACAAAAGCGAGTCGAATGGTGTCAAAAAATGTCATTTTACAAGTGCCCTAAGAATCATATTTTAAGTATTTAATAAATGCACATTCAACATGACTTTATTGATCTTTTTGGGTGGAGAGAATGGTGGCATTTTTAGAAGCAGAAGCCTTGTTTTCACTCAAGAGTAGTAATTTAAAAATGAACTATTACTAGTTACGTAGTCAATTAAAGAGTGCATTTAAATGGTCAGACTATGGAAGAGTAAATATTCAGAAGAAAAAAATAACCTAATGTTTCCAATATCACATAATTGTCCAGATCATGCACTTAGGAATAGACAAGTCCCTATTGAACCCTAAACTTTGCCACAGTACCTTGTCATGTGACTTGAGGCAAATAACCAAACTACTCTAAGCCTCAGTTTTCCTATCTATGAAATGGGACTAAGAGGATCCCCTGCCCAGGGCTACTGAGGAATTAGATAAGGCAATAAAACTGTTTGATGTGGTGTCTGGCCCTCAGTAAATACTAGCTAATATTCTCTTTAATGGGATGATCTGGGCTAATTTATCAAATTCTTCCAAACGACAAAATGTATGTATTTTATAAGCAATAACTCTTAGGTAAATTAAGAGAAGAAACAACTCTCAAACCCAAGACCTTGTGCACCTGTGGCATCTGCAGGCAAAAGTACATGGGGTCCAATCAAGCCAGAATCTGATCTACTAGTTGACAAGCTTTTTGAATGTTGGGACTATGTTTTTTTCATTCTTTTATCTCCAGCATTCAGCACAGAAACTGTCTTCAATGAATGTTTGCTGAGACAGTGAACAAAAAAATAAGGATGTAAAACCATGCAGACTGTTTTTCTAGATTTTGGAGCTGAAATGACATATTAGGCTAATAATTCCATTAAACTGGTCCATCTCTATAGGCAGTATAACAAGACTAGTGATAGCATAAATTGTGATGTTCTTTACTCATTCAAAGTAAGAATTAAGTTTTGCATGTGTGTTAGGGATGAGATAAAAACCCATAATTTATCACATTATTGAGAGAACAAAGCACTATGTTTTATCTCAATATATCACTAATAAAAATGTCTTGCAATTAAAAGACCGTCTATAAGAAAAACATCTTAAACTCATAATTTATACCATGGTCTACAGACATGGTATTCAACATACTGTAATTTCTAGCATGAGCCTACCCTTTTTTGTGTATGTATATTCTAAGAATAGAATTTCAATCAGCTGGCAAGCAGAGAAGGAGAGAAACCATTTACAAAGTAGTTTTGTTTCCATATACAGTGAGCAATAGCTACAAAATTGCTGTTCATAAACTGAGGCTGAGAATGTGGCAGTCAAATTAGGGTGATTAGAAATTGTTTTTATCTAAATAGCATCTACCAGTTTTTCAAACATTGAAAAATGTTACTTACCAGGGAGAAAAATGTTACTTATAAGCTTTGTCCCTTCTGCAAATATCTTGATCCAGCCTGAGCAATCACACTGGTTACAACTCCTTCAAAAATCTGACCATTCTCCTAAGCTTCATGACCAGCATTGCAAGAAAAAAAAATGGCCATTTGATCTTCTGGGTTCCTGTGGAAGTCCTTAAACATAGGTTTTGTGGCATCTGATAGTTTATAAGTTTTCCTCAGATAAATTGACCCAAATGTCTGTTTTCTATTAAGGCAGTAATTATTGAAAAGGTCTGATAGAAATTGAAAAAAAAAGAAGAGCAGGAAAAAAAAAAAAAGAAGAGATCAAGCTGAACTGGTCAACCAACTCTTTTCCCAATTACCAGGAAACATACTCAGAGAATTAAGACTTTTTTACTTCCAACTGTTCAATTGTGTGAAACTTCTCAGAGGTTGCATCAAAAGGAAAGACCCATCCTTCTGTTCTCAGAAATACCAGGGCTGCTTCTCTAGTGGTTTGGGAATATTTATGAAAAGAGGAAACCCTGCAGTAACTGAAAATGCAAATCTGCCAACACAAATATATTTGATGAATGTGAACAAAATTCTACATTTTTAATAAAGGCACTTTTATCATTTGACAATGCGATTGACTACCAGACAAAGCAAAATGAGACAATTTCTTGATGACATTACTTTTCCTGGAATAAAAGTAGAGATTGATAGAATTCTCTCTCCCATAAAATAACAGATTCCTTAAATAAACTAAAATTTAAAAACAAAATCCAGTTCTACAATTTGTTGAAAGAAGAATCCTCTTGGAGGTTGTTCTGCAATCTTATGCCTCTTATCTTGGATCAGGGGAAGAGAAATTGTCAGAAGCAGCTGAGTGTCCCTCCGGGTACACGTGAGTTGCCCATCTGCCACGCCAGAGAGGACGTGCCCTGATGACCCCCATGTTAACATCAAATCCAGGTCTGAACCTGGTCCCATGAGCAAACTTTGCCTCTGCCCCTGAGAATGAAGCTGTGACGTGGTCATGGTGGGAAACTGTCCATTCACAGCAGCTGACAGCACCCAACACGATGGGAGAGGATGTGGGGGTTGGATGAAAATGAGCTTTTAAAGATTATTTTTTGTTCATTGAACATTTCACGTTATTATTGCTTAGAGCTCTCAAATATCTTTTGCACTTGTAGATGTAAATAGTACCCACTCAGCTCCTTTCTGATAGCTTGTCCCTTTTTTGTCCTTATCCCAAGACCATGAGCAGAATTACCTGCAGCTCTTAGAGTTGCTTATATTTCATGGTCCATGAAGATTTTAAGGAATAAAATGCAAGAGAGTAGGAGTTACAAAATCTTTTATTAAATTTACAAGAAAATATAAGAACTATATGAAGAAGAGTATTAGATTGTATAAATGCCATAAAATAAAACCTGAATAAATGATATATATATCATATTTATGAAGAAAAAAACTCAAATCATAAATATGCTAATCTTTCCTAAATTCATATGTATATAAATTAACTGTAATTCCAATCAGAATTATGACAACCTTCTTTTTTTCATGGTGTAGGATTGGGGGTGGGCAAGATAACAATTTTAAATGCTATTATAAAGAATAAATATGAGATAATTAAAAATAATTTTTAAAAGATTTTGTTTATTTATCTTTAGAGAGAGGGGAAGAGAGAGAGAAAGAGAGGGAGAGAAACATCAATATGTGCTTGCCTTTAGCGTGCCCCCACCCAGGGACCTGGCCCGCAATGAAGGCGTGTGGCCTATCTTGGAATCAAACCAGTGGCTCTTTGGTTCACAGGCTGGCACTCAATCCACTGAGCCACATCAGCCAGGGTAAAAAAATTTGTTTTTGAGAAATATTAGTGAATAGACATTTGACATGGTAGATCTTTTTTAAAATCTTTTTTATTGTTGTTCTATTACAGTTGTCCCCGTTTTCCCCCATTGCTCTCGCCTGCCCTGCCCACCTCCTGCTCCCACATTCAATCCTCCACTTGCCCTTGCCCTTGGGTCCTTCATGCATGTTCCTCGACTTGACTCTTCCCCTTGTTAATCCCATTACCCTTTCCCGCCCTCCCCTCTGGTCACTGTCAGTCTGTTCTTTATTTCCATGCTTCTGGTTCTGTTTTTCTCACTTGTTTGTTTTGTTGATTAGGTTCCACTCATAGGTGAGATCACATGGTATTTGGTCTCATGATATCAGACATGTTTCTACAAGGTTCAGTAGATCATTAGAAAGTACCGTGTTTGCTTGTTTATAAAAATGGCAGTGCTCTGCAGAGGCCAGGCCATTTCACATTCAAGCGGGTTCTTCTGTTTAGCAAATTTACCATCAATCTTCATTCTAAACTTCAATGAGCTTCTAGTTTCTTAAGGCTTCTTTGCACTTTGGGTACTTGATATGCTACTATGTGCAATTCAGATACTTAATTCATACGGCACCTACAGGAAAACATATTTGATGAAACATGGGTTGCTATTTTGCAAGCAAGATATGCTTTGTCTGTTCTGAATAGGCATGCATGAAAGACACGTTAGTGCGGACAAAATTGTTCTTTGAGAAGGAACACTGCACCTTAGCTCCAAATCTCCCTTCCCTTTGTTCCTCCTTGTGCTGACATGAGAAGACATGGTTCTGTGTTCTCTAGTAGTAAAAGAAAGGTAAATCCACACATGTGGGATCTTCTCTTAATTAAGCATACATATAAATTATCCAGCTTTACATATAAAATAGTTATTACTCTTAAAAGGCAGAGAGGGAACTGAAAGCTAGGATTTCAAACTGAGCAGGGACTTGATTCCAAGGTCACAAAATCCCAAACTTGTTCTTTCAAGTACTTGACCCTGTTTTGGTGGAGGTGGAAAGATGTGTGTTGTAGGAATGGTTTCCAGGCCTATTACAGGTCTATATAATTAGAGAATCTGTATCTCAAATGGTCAAATATAAGATATTGGGTGTTGCTTTCTGAGAATCATAGGAAGTATTATCCTGAATAAAAAGCAGGTGAAATGTTTGATTTGATTATCCTAAGAGACAATGGGCTGTCAGTGCAAGCAACTAGCAAAAGAGTTTGTGAAGGCCAGGCCTAAATTAGTGGGAATATCCAATTAAATTCTACAACTTAGCTTCTTTTCACTTGTCCTTTAGATACAGCAGAAGATTCAAGTATCCATGAGGAATTTGGGCCAAATAGTTCAAATTATACATATTATTTGGGTTAAGTGGTTATTTCTGTCATGAGCTTGCTGATTACCCTGTATATGTCAGCTAGAAACTAAATAGAGTTTCTAAACTTGTATGAATTTAGAGAGAAAAGTGTGGGGGTTCTCTGCACTGGATCTAAGTGTTTATGTTGGGGGCTCTGTCTGGAAAGCCAATTCTAGTCTTAGGTGGTACTGCTGGGGTTGGCTGGGTTTGTGGTTTACTTTCTGGCTGGTGAAACCACAGTTCCCAGGGTCTCCTGTCTCTTTTATCAGATTTCATATCGTTGGAAACACCTAAAGAATCCTCAGGTCTTCGCATCTCTATTTCTCTCATTACCAGAGAAAGCAAAAGATTTGGAAAATCAAGAGAACACCGTCTGCTTCAAAAGATATCCTTGCCATTTTGTCCAGTGATACAATACACTTTTGTCCTTTACTGAGACAGGAAAGTGTAGGGAGAAAAATTATGCAAATTGTGGGGATTGGAGTGAGGGAGTGAGATTCAAATCAATTGTGTTCTGGATACTTATTAGACATCCAAGAAGAGAGGATTTCAGCTGTAATATCATGGTGCAGATTTTTGTTATTACTGATGTTCTTGTTATTTTTAAGGTTTGGCTGCTACAACCTTGGACTTGAAAATGTCCTGAGTCACTCTAACAGGGCAGAAAGCAGGTCAGAACTATCAAATTTGGAACTAAGTGCATAACCATGCAGTTAGGGTACGTGTCAGGTCAGAGTGAAGAGCAGGGAATTTGAATTTCATTCAGCAGGTTGTTCTGTAACTGGCAAACATTTAGGAGTATATTCATGATAAACCAATCTCCACCTCCCACAGGCCCACCTATTTGATGTGTATGCCAGGAAACTTTCAATTACTGAGTATTTCAGAACTGATAGGAAACTACAGAAATGAAGGGGAGTAAGCAGCCAAGGGGAGACAACATGGAGATAGAAGGAGCTTGGACTCCATCCCCTGCTGACCTTTATCTCTTCTCAGCAGTGTGAAGTCGCATACTTTGCCTGCATATCAGACCTTAACACGTTCTGGAGATCGAACTTATGTAGACAAAGTGTAGTTAGTTGTTAAAGCTTCCTTTTGAAAGAATTACACTTTTGCTAAAGAAGTTCCACACTGACCATCAGGGAGACAGGAAAAGTCACTCAACTGAAAATCTGAAATGTAAGCAGGAGCCCTTCCTCTGTGG